ATGTGATACGATTTTACGAATGAAGAGAAAACCTTCAAGATTCCGATTCTAATGGAGATTTGGGATGGGGATGGGAAGGAAGAGGAAGAGGGGTTGGTTTAAATTAAAAATCGAGAGAAAAAAAAGCATGGCAGTCCTGTGTATTATACTCGTCGTTTAAAACGGAAAACGATGTGCGTGACGATCGAAATAAAAGGTATTGTGAGAACGAAATAGGATATCATTGTTTAGAAAATATAAAGAATTATCTTTCACGCTTCTCGAGGGCACACTCTTCATCTTACTCCTTTACGTATCTTTCGTAATCATCGTCATCATCATCATCATCATTATCATCATCATCATAATCATATCTTTGTCACAGACAATTAAAAATGAGATCATTATAATTGTACAATTACTAATAATACAAGTTTTCCCTTCCATTGATGAATTCCAATTTATCACATCATTTTATCGATAAGATAATACGTTATCTATTCACCTTAATATTCTCATCGCAGTAACATACTTCCTCCTATCAATAGTATTATACTAAACTTCCTTTTTATTCTCTCTCTTTCTCTGTATTATTATCGTCATGTAAAAAGTCAACAAAAGAAAAAAAGATTGCATCGAAGTGTACGCAATGACAGATTAGCTTTTACTAATCTACCCTTTTTTTTTTTTTTTTTTTTTTTCTATAGAAAAATTCTAACGAAATGAAATCAAATTCGATATAACATCTGTAGTAAACGTTTACGAAAAAAGACAAATTATTATTATTATTATTTATTCAAATGAGAAGACGAGTTTATTATTACTTTTGACACGATGACTGCGTTAAAGAATACAACCCCCGTCGGCACACTCACTTTGCGTTTAACGTACTGTGTTACGACGAGGGTAGGTAGGTGCAGCATATAACACGTAGGTATGTAAAATGTCATCGTCGAGTGAGAAGAAAGAACGGAATGTGAAGAATCCGTAATCCATATGCACAGGGGGGTGGTATGGTGGTGGTAGTGGTGGTGGTGGTGTTGGTAACAATACGCGTATTACGAAAGAAGTAGAAGATTGACGACCTCTTCTTCTTCTTTTTCTTCTTCTTCTTCCTTTTTTCATACACGTGCATGCTTATTAAAAGAAAAGAGGTGAAAAAAAAGGAAAAAAAGACAAAGTAGGCTTGCACGAGTAAAAAAGAGAACGAAGAAGCTTCTTTATCATCCATACGAGGAGATATATGCTTTTCACCTTTCCATAGTTTATTGTACACTGAAGTAAAAGAGAGAGATAGGTAGTGAAAGTGTATGAAAAGAAAAGGAAGAAAAAGAAGAAGAGTAAAGGGTTCATCGTTCCTGCTGCTGTTGCTGTTTGGCTTTGTGTGTTCGAAGGAACACACAATTCTACTCGCTGGCAAGCTAGCAAAGGTGATCATCGTTGCTCACACCTATATTTCTTTCTCTCACATTGGATGAAACGAATCTTTTTTTAATTTTTTTATTTTCTCCATTGACACGCGCCGATATTATTTTGTATTATTAGTAATATTTTTTATTCTTCAAAACAAGTTTTCCTTTCACCGTTTAGAAAATCGATAAGGGTTAAATGTTATTGGAAATAACTCGAATTATTCGATTAAATGATATCGTATTGCAACGTAAACTAATAAGTATTTCCTTCTTGATTAGTAATATATATATATATATATATATATAT